TTTGTGTGAGTTAGAATAGCAATTTTTTCTCACTTTAAATACACTTTTGACCTACTGAACTAAATGCAATCGAGAATTTTAAATGCAAATAATTGCAAATTTTAATTTTAAATCTCTTATGACTATGCAAGTATTCCTTGAAGCTTACTATTAATGAAAATCGTGATTTAACACTTTCGATATTATGTCTATGCGATAATAGTAAGCAAACGAGAAATTTGGTTACGACTAACTTTCCTACTCCTTTTCATATCATACTAATCTACTAATGACGGAACAAACATTTATGCGAAAAAACTCATAACAAAATGATCCCGATTCTCTTGAAGCCCTCTTAGCCGCACGAACAACAAACTATTAATATATTGTTGCTTTGGTCAAGAAATTTGAAAACGGAATAAGAATTAGGAAGGAGAAGGAGGACGGCGTTTTATAGCAAGCAGGCCATCCGGGCCGTATGGGGTAGAAGCCAGTCTTAATGGGCGGCTTACATGCTATGCGCTCAAATTAAGCGGCGAGAATATTCCTGCTCGAGGAGAAGTAATTGTAAGTTTTAAGGCAGTGTTGTGAAATCCTGAAAGGCAGCGTAAGCTCCATTTCCACTCTGTTACTACTTACTTACCTTAATTCTTTTTTTATGCCCACCACACTTCATCTTGCATTGCAAATAACATGGTTCCCTTTTGCTTCTTTGAATGAGTTACTTCTCATATAGATTCAAATTTTGGCAATTTGAGTCAAAGTATTCCATAATCGGAGCAGACATGATGATAAAGTTATAGAAAGCGTTAAAGTGGTTAAATAACATTATCAGCAACTATTAGGTACTTAATCCTTTTTTTTTTTTTTTGCAGATTAATGTTAATAGCAAGTATTGCAATAGAATTTTTTCCCCAGAGCGGAGTTTGCAGAAATATGATTTTTCTCGTACTTAAGATCCTCGTAAGGCCAATTCCAAGTGCGGCTAATAAACTATTTCCTGATAACTCACTTCTCTGATGTAAATATTTGTGGTAGTTTTGTTTTTTTCTCGAAAAGTTCTTACTCCATGGAGAGGAAAAAGTCTTTAACGCCCAGAATGAATGTAGGAGCAAAGGCCGCAAAGGGTCAACTGTAGACAAAAGGAATAGCAAATAGTCTGTTTGTTCATTTTCGCCAGCCAGGTCCAAGTGCGCAAGTCTTCGTCACTTTCTTAGCCAGCTTTTTTTCTAGCGACCATCTGTACAAAATAATTTCCCAATTCTTCCTTTCCCTTTGTTACTTTGTTACATACATATAAGTGGCATAATAAGAAAAAAATGCAATGAAATTGTAATTTCTCTCAATATCACTAAGTAAGGGAGACATTATTTAGGAATACACCTAAAATATGTATTCTATTGTGGCATTCCTATAAATAAGATTTAATCGTTTTTCGGTTTCATTTAAAGTCTATACATATTTAATCGGCTCTTGGAGTCATTGCTTTTAGCCTTTTCCGGTAATTATGTATGCACTCATCATGTTTCGTATCCACGTAAGTGTTTCCTGTTTGTTGGACTGCTTCTTGTAATGAGTAACTTTTTCATATTTATTTAATTTTAAATTCTAAAGTAACACATGTAGCACTTTCACCTGAGAGAGTTTGTGTTCTCACAGCGGAAAAGTGAAAATACTTTAATATTGTGAGTTAATGAGTTTGCAGCGCTCACAAGCAGGCGTCAGAGATGGCTTAATGTCTATTCTTGAGGAGAGAATTTTGTGGACACACTTTTATGCGTTCACTTTTAAGCTTAGCTTGGGTACAGCTTGGATCAGAAAACCGAAGCTTATTTAATCTTTCGGTTTGCTGGCTGACCGCCTCATCTATTAAAAAAGACTTTATTGCCCATTACTAAAATTTACGTTGTTGTTTCGTGACCGAAGAAGCAATAGTTGCCTAGAGTTGTGGGGATTTCTTCCCGACATAATAGATTCTTATTCAAAGAATAGATATTCGAATATTAAAAAGATTCCAAGTGGAACCAGGAAGCTCTTGAGTTTGCTGCAGGCTGTCTATATTCGTATTATGAAATGCAAAAAAACTTAGAAAGCTTACCGCTTTGTTCGATCTCATTGTAGGACAATGGAATTTCAAATGAATGTTTCAAGTAATAATAACTTCTTTTATATTTGTTATTATATGACAATGATTTGGCATTTGATGGGGGCCTTAAAAGATGTCTGTGCGGAGCAGGGAGAGAATTCTAGAAAATGAGAAAACTTTTCATTGTTTCCTTTTTTGTGCTAAGATTTAGATAATTTTTATACATGAACCTCTCCAAGTTTTTGCGCGAATCAATCACGTATGCGTTGAGCTGATGGAATTTTTTGCGATATATGCATACATGGATGAATACTAATCAGCTGGTACTATTTACAGGACATGATATGATGTTTATATAGTAATCAATTTATGTTTTGTAATTGTCAATACGTCAATACGAGGGGTACGAGCGAATCAGTGGCGATACATTTACAGACCTCTACAGATTGATTTTGTTTTCGTTCTAATGATATGTGCATGAGTCGGTTGACACGATAACGGAACACTGGACAAGTAGACGCCAACTTATTTGTTTAATAATTCAACGGATTTGATGATTACGATGAGCCTGACGTAGAAAATTCAATTGCTATAAAATATGTTCGCATCTGCATATGAAATGCACTCTGGGCAGGATGGATTCATTTCGAATTGCATATTTGAATTTGCATCCTTAATATAGATATTTTTGTGTGTATATATATATATATATATATATGTGTGCGTGTGCGTGTGCGTGTGGTTTGCATGGATATCAAATAAGAAGAGTGATATGATGATAATTTTAATAGGATTTATACGTGTAGTTTTACATATGCATAAATTCAGATATAAGTGTTGCGTTCACCGTCCTATTTTATTTTATCATTCTGCTGATAGAAATCTATTTTATACGTGTTTGTATGGATTTTATATTTACGCACACTCTGCCATATACGTATAAGCAAATAAGCATTCAAAGGCCATAGAGTATTTGTATCAGATATAGAACACATATTGTGAATTTTGTTTGGGTGAACACTGTAAGTTTGTTTGTTTGTTTGTTTATGTGTGTGCGTGTATGTGCGTATATGCATGCATGCGTACATGCATGCATACTTGTGTTATCACCACCATTTACCATTGGGAATTAGGTCGAAATTATTGATATAACACTTATGTTAGAGATTCGTTTTGCTTAAATTGCCTTTTGACTTCAGAAAATCGAGTCAATAATAAAAAGTCAATATTAAATACTTTTATACATATTTGTAAGTCTGCACATAAGTGCATGTTATTAAACAATATTACATTTCGTTAGGGAATCAAGTTTTTTATCTCTTATTGATATTGAAGAGTAAATATTTATTTAAACGTTTGCCTCTCTCCCATCTGCAATTCATTCATTTAACATTTTTAAATTTTTTTTTACTCGAAATACTTACTACTTTTCCATAAATTTATCTAGAAAAGTTCTCCGTTATCATATAAGATATTCGCGCGTATCAATCGAATAGAAACGAATCTGACACAGTCAGTTATATAAAAGACAAGCCGCCTTATCCTTTGTCAGCAAGAGCGTTGTTAAATGTCGTTTGAGACGTCTTTTGCAAGCAGTGCTGTGCAACAAGACAGAATCATTTATATATAGAAATTTTAGTTAAAGCTCCATGATATGTTTGCAGTAAAACTGTTCAAGTTGCTCAACATTTTTAGCGTTAACAATCATCTGATAATTGCTTGGCGGGCAGTTAGCGATTTCTATTAAATAAGAAAAGCATTCACTTACTGAGTCCATCACCCAGACTCTATATATCCTTTTTCTTAGAAAAAATCTCTAGTGGAATCTATTCCTTTTTTACAAAAGTCTCTTTCAATATCAGTTTGGTGGTATAAACCTTGCCGAAAGGTTTAGGCAAGTTAGGATAAATAAACAACATTTATTATTTACAATACAAACCGACAACATTTGTTTATTATTCTAACTAAATGGATAGCAAATAAAATCGAACGAGAAAAAAGAAAAACTAATTGGTACATAAACATATGTCAAAATGTATAAAAATAAAAAGCAAATATTGCTTTAGTAAACATTTACAATTGGAAGGAAACAACGAACTGCAATACATTTTCCAGAACAGAATTTATGACATTTCCATTTCCGTGATATAAGCAAATGTTCACTTTATTGAAAATCTTAGATATGTCTTCGTAAAGAACATAGATTTCTAAATGCCAGGATGCATTACATAGAGTGCAGAGGTCGATCAAGAAGTTGTTTGCGAAAATTGTTTGCAGTTGTTTGCAGTCCATAGAACGTGACGTCAATAGTCAGAAGTATTTAACAAAAAATACGCGAGGAAATTTCATTGTAGGCTCGTGTCCCCCCAGTCACACCATCTCAGCCATGAATTGCAATCATAAACTCTACGTTTTCCTTCCATGCCCCATATAATTCGAAATTTGCGAAAGTGTTAGCTGAAAAGATCTTAATGTCAAGTCTAAGTACATACATATTATCAAGTGTCTGACAAGTCTAGACAAGCCATCGCCCGTGGGAAATAAGTAAGGTGTCAAATAATTATTTTATTCCATCGGGATGACAAGGCCCTCAAGTATCGCACAGGTACTGATTTGTGCGGATTCCGCGAAAGGACGACTGAAACGTCGTATTATGTTTCGCCAAGTCAGATATAGCGAAGCGGTCCGAATGGAAGAAGATGGTACGGTTCGCAAGAATTCTTAAGCTCTGGCGAATACAATAGAACTTCTATGTCGCGGTACGGTTTGCTGAATACAATAACACTAACAATTATTACATACATAAAACAGATTCATCATCATAGTTCATAAGGAAATGCACTCAATTATTGTCCTCGCGACGACTCATCACAACTTCTAACGCTTTAATAATTTTTAATTCGCTTTGCTATGTATTTGGCTGTTTTCGTTTTAGGATCGAAATAACGCTCAATCTTCGTGCGCCGGGTTGTTTGTGGGCGCTCATCTTGGGTTTGACTATCCTGGCATTTGGATACACGTCGATATGGCTGCGCCAGTTCATTTTGTGAGTTTTTACAAACCAAGTAGACATAATCCGAATTTCTCCTCCATTGCATTATTAACACGTTCACGAGCGCTAAGAATTTCAATGAGCTCCAAAACATTCTTTTTTAAATTGGCTGTAACATCCGAAATCTGATTATATATATATATGTATGTATATATATATATATATATGTGCTGTAAAGCTAGCTAGGCTCAAATATTTTGGGTGTAATGAATGCTTTAACATACACGACACTATCGGCCAAATTTGGCAACTAATGGTTATCGTTATTCGAAAGCTAAATGAATTATATAATTGGCTTTAAATTTTGAATTCGCCATAGCATTCATGCTCGTAAACGTGTTGAACACATTTATTATGCTGATATTATGCTGCGATCAAAAACTAGTGAGGTGAACAGCCTGTCTACAAGTCACAGGGTAGTTTCCGGTTCTCATGACTTGACAAACTTATTTTACAAAAAAGTTGATATCGAAGACTATTGCTCCGGAATACCACTATGGTAAGAAAACACACTCCAGCATTCCGAAATGTTTCACAAGAGAATCCGTAACTACTTTCGTCTGGGAAGCCCGCAAGGGAAAATGCAGTCTTTGTAATTGAAAAGAAGAAAAATTCTTATTACCTTGTTGATCGCAGTATTTTTTTGTTCAAGACTTCTTTTCGATGGATTTTCGATGGCGTTTCCTATTACCGTTATTATCTATTTATTTTAGGGTGAACGGGCAACTGGCTATGGTGTTGCTTTGTTGCTTACCCTATTTGGCAATCACACCAATTGTTCAATGTTGCAGGAGATAGCTAGCAATGATTCAGAACCACCCACGAAACGCGTCTGCCGTGACTGATAATGGATCTACGCAAGCGAATGAAGTACGAAGCGGAATTAATACGAAGATATCACTGCCTTGTCACTTTTACTTATTATTAATGCTTTTTTTATTTTTCTTTGAATTCACTTTCTATTATATATGTTACATATGTTATTGCGATCGAGTAAGCTTAAGCATTGATTATGTAAGCGCCTTGTTGAAATTTTTTCCCATTTATCTTACGTTTCAATTAATTGGTTTTTGGTTTTCATTATTGTGAAGAGAAGTATGATTTAAAAGATCTTTAAGTTGTGTTTATTGTACTCATGTCTTCCTTACGTTCCTTATATCGATGACGGTAAGATTTGGAATGTTCGCGATTAGCAATTGTGTGTTCAATTTTCTTGCCTCCAACCATAATGCTTTTTGATTTTTGACAAAGATCGCCACACAGTGTTCATTCAACGTCAAGCTTAATCCCCTAAAAGGTGAACCTGGCGAGCGCTGCGGCACAATTCGAAAGTCGTTTGGAAAATTGCATTGGAGCGTCGCGAACATCGAAGAGATTCAACGTTGCCATCTGAAGAGATAACTAACACACAGACTAACACAGATGACTAACATTTTGCAATTCTGTCAAAATACTATCCACTTAAGGAGGAGCGGAACTAAATGATTAGCTATATGTAACGGTAGTGCGATACCTTAAGCACATGTGATTAGGACGTCTTCGCCGAACTGTAGCAATCGCAGAGCCGACCAACTTGCTGTCAATTATAGCCGTTGTATTCGGTCAACACGTGCACCTTTATATCGCGTCACCGCGACGATGTCAAACTCTCTTTTGCAATTGATGATCATTAAAATATCATAATCTTATTCTTTTTTACAAATTCTATCGTATTCAAGTACAAGTGACATACAGTTGATGTAAATATCTTGACAGTCGTGGCAGCGAAGAAAATTGGGAAGTTGGCAACGATTTCTTTTGACGCACGAAGTAATAACTACGCGCTCTTATCGGAGTAATCGCATAAATCCGAGTTGATATGGCATTTTTCCTAATGAAACGCCATTGATCGATATTATTGGATGTTCTTCTGCAGGAGTATTTTCTTAACTCAGTTCCTCATATCGTTTCAGTGGGTATTTTAAAAAAGTCTTAGTAGTTATATGCTGCATTTTTAATAAAATTTGATCCACCAGATATAAGTGGAAAAATTATTTGTTTATCGGTTTCTTCAATTCTTTTTTCTTTGCTTTTTTCAGGTTATGGAATAACATTTCGGTTATTGAAGTAACGCTTGGATTCTTTCCTCTGAAGTAAATTAAAGCAAACAATATTTTGAATATCGCTTAGGCTTTTCATTACTTACTTATATGACTTTAAATTGAATAAAAGAAAACCTTGCGGACTCTTTATTCAGATTATTTGTTGTGTTGTGTTTTCGATCGGGTAATAAAAATGTGAAATAAATTTTCTTCCAACGCTTTGTGCATGTTTTTTGCCCGTTGTAAAAGCATTGCAGATTTTTGCCCAATAACGCTCGATGCTATGTGATTTTTTCATATCCCGTAAGAGGAAAAAACTGCCTTTTGCTTGAACAGAAAGAAAACTCGTTGGCCACAAAGAAACACGCATCACTTTTCGGTATCCTCCAATATACAAAGTATCCTCTGTAGACATATAAATAGCAAAAAGGGTATTACGGAAATAACAGCAACAACATTGTGATAGTGAAATGCACACCGTTACGTAAATTCGAAAACGTTTCCTGGCCGTGGGAAACAGGCCTTTATTTGGAGCAGGTTTTTATCCTGTAGGTTTATTAAAAAGTTTAACAAAAATTGTACAAGAGATTTATTAAGGGGCGGGGCGGGGCGCAAATCGAAACATCCAACCATTAAGGTTTTAGAATATTTAAGAGACGTAGGGTGGGCTTATTGTGTCCTCGGACACTCTCTCTCCTTCTGAGCAGAAGTCATTTTCTGCACTCATTGAATGATGCTCTGACTTTCTTGCTTCTGCATAAATGACTTGTGAAAAATAAAGTGCAGCAAAATTATTAGCTTAAGCCAATTTTACGGATTGAGTTGCTATTTGAGCGAACTTTGTTGACTTCAGAAAATTGATGAATAAATAATCTGGTCTAGTTGCCGTCTCTTTCAGCTAGTTTTGCCAATAATTCATGAGCAAATCATGCTTGAATGCTTTCGTGCAGTTGAGTTCGTGCTTTCGAAAAACGATCAAATGTTAATTCGAAAGTTCCGTGTGCCGTCTATATTGATGCCTAGTCATACCTATTGCATATCATTTTTCAAAGCAACTATTTATGGAAATTATGAACGGTTTGCTCACTTGAGAAATTGAAAGGTCAAAGGTCAAACAATTTCGCTTATTTGCTTTGCGTCTCTTTAATGTGTGTAACTAATAATTGGCTCAGTAAGTGCCCGCGTTGTACTTTTTACAGACATTATTTTTTTGGTGATTCAGGCTTGCACGAACAAGTATATATCCAACATGTCTGCTTAAAGTCTTTGCTTTCGTACAGAGCAGATTTCAATATGAAATTTCAATATGAGAAGACCGAATTTTAAAATGTTGCGAATTACGAAACGCCTTTTTTATAGTAAAGGCTTCGTTGTAGATACTTTTAAGTATAGGGGAAAAGGAAATTCCGTATAGTAGGCAAGTACATCATTGATCGTACAGGCTTTGTGTTTCGTATAGAAACTTTTATTTCTCTATTTATTTAAATTAATATATGGATGGACGGAATAGTATAATTTAAACTTGGATAGAATATAAATCAAACTAATGTGCAGTGTGTTATATCGAAACGTCGTGTTTTCGAAATACCGCGTTCCGCTTAGGACGCCTGTGCATGCGTAAATTTATTTTTAATCTATTTTGTGGCGAAAGTTTATTGAAAGGATGTTGCAGATATCGAGCTCTTTAAATGATTTTTAAATTTTAACTTATGGGGACATTTTTGATTCCAAACAGATCGCATTATTCATTAATTGTTAAATTCTTAGTCAATGTGCACATAATGCAATTAATTTTATTAATGTTTGATGTACTGACTAATTGAAAGTTCGCAACATTGAGTGAGTATTGTCAGCAAGTTGTAAGTTGTAAGTATAAGCTAATTTACATTCAAAGCACAAAAGAGAAAAACAATTGAAATATTGTGGCAATTTTATAAACATGTACATGCCTTCCTACCCGTATATTCAGATGTGCACAGCTTGGCACATGTACGAATCGATTATGAGCACATGCTCATGCTCATGCTCAAGTTCACTCACACTCATGCAAAGACAAACACTTACACAAACATGCTTATATTAATTCTATTCTTTTTGCCCATTGAAACAAAACTTTACTCTCCTAGATACAAATGTATTAAGATATATTTAACAGATATCGAATTGCTTGTTCACACATGCACTCACATGGATTTGCAATTGTTTATATATTTATTATGCAACAGTAATATATATATAATAAGTAAGTAATAGAATCGAATCTCCGTCCACTTATGTTTGTAATACACGCACAAGCACTTATTTATGCGACATATAAATGTACTCAAGTCCAGGTGGTTATGTCTGTTTGTATATTTTTAATGCACCCTTACATAACCACACAAATGTACGTGACAGTACTGATAGTATTGGTGGTGTTTCAATATTTGAATACATGCAAGTGCAATTGATATGATTTTGATTAAATTCTTGACATTACACTGTTCGATTATAAATTAAAATCTACTTAAAATGCTTCCACACGCACGCATATTATATAACCTTAGTAATTACGGACAGTTGTATCTTTGAGCACTTGTATGTATATGCATATAGACATACAATCTTGGCCAAAAGTATTAGGCAGCCTTCTACAATTTAATGCGTTACACGCATTCGGGATGAAAAATAAAACTCGTTTTCTTTTCAATATTCATTATTGACTAAGAAGTAAAATGTGAATTATTTAGTGGGTTCACCCTTTGCACTTTAATCGCCTACAACAACCCTTTGGCGTATGCTGCATACAAGTTTTGTGCGCTCAGCTGCAGTAACGGCATCTCACTCATTCGTAAATGCCTTTGTTCACGTTCGTGTTGATGTAATGCTGTGCTGCCGTATCTTGCGCTTCAATGCACTACAAAGATGCCCGATCTGATTTAGATCTGGACAAGTCCATCAAGACAGGGTATCAGGGTATGACCTAAGCGGATTTATGATATGGACCAACATCTTGCCTCCTTTTATCCATTTCTCTCTACAAAGTTCCCTTTTTTTAGCCGTTTCGCCAAGCTGACTGTATCTAGCTTCACAAGTACACAACACTCGCCAGCTTCTTGCAGTGTGAACAGCGAAGGAAGACCGACAAAATAATTACGATATAAGCAAAGTGTGTTTTGTTATACTTCGTGATTTGCACCTGTTTTATAGGGGTGCCTAATACTTTAGGCCCAGGCTGTATATATACATATGTATGTATACATATATACTATATTAAAATTTATTATAATATTTTGTATTGCAAGATAAATGTTTAAATTGAAATTAAATTTTGTGGGTACCATCGAGTGGTGTGGTGGAGTTTGAAATTTGAAATTGATTTATTTATGGTGATTTCTCACTTCTTCGAGTTCATAACGGGCTCGTCAAAAATACTTAAATCCGCTTCTATTTTAATTAATTGGACAACTACTACGAGTGTTATTATTAATAAACATTAACTTTTAATTCCACGTGAATTATTCATTATTCACTTTTCGTTTGCCTTCCTATTGAGATATCTATCCCTTGACATTGTCCTTTTCCGGCGGACGGGCATTCGTTTAAAAGCTGTGTCGAAATAGCTCGAACGTGGTTTTTAATCACAGCTGACTGACTGTCTTGTCGTATCCCAAAAATCGTATTTTACAGGTCTCTACTACCGAAAACATTTATGAAATTCTATTTTGTTTTGCTTCATCATTCCGATGAAAAATAAAATTAAGGGAAAACATTGTTTTTTCTATTCAGAAAAATGAAATAAAATTTCTGCCACAAAATTCCATTTCTCTTTACACAATCAATTAATGAAAGTAAACAACAAACGCAAAACATACGCTTCGTTAAATATGCAAACAACTTATGCATCTGTATGATGTTAGCACGAACGCATACACGTACACTTCAATGGCAGAGTTAAATGCATAGAATAAAGGCTGAATTGTGCCTGAAAGAGACGTGGGAC